TTTCCTGTTCTGCCCTCCCGCAGAGATGGAAAAGGTGCACTAGTCTCTATTTGAGCCTTCATCCCCCTTACCACGGAGCAGTGTGTGCAGAGCAGATTCACAGTGCAGAGTCCCTCCCTGTCTGCCCACCCGGGTTTCAGCCTTCCTTTTAACTTCTTCAGGCTGACATGTATTTGACTCGGGATCTCTGTGTAGTCCCAGGCAAACTACTCCGGAACCCAAGCAGATTACATGTGCGGTCTGTGTGTATTTAATGTGCAGGCTGCTTTAGGGGGATTTGGTGGAGGGCGTGACACAGATATGTGCTAATTTGTGCCTACAGAAACAGTCAGATAACTCCTTTGACGTAAGTATACAGGAAAAAAGGGTATTGCCATGATTTATGGACCTAAATAGCAGTCTGCCTCAGGAGATGGTCTATATGGGGAGTTTTAGGTTCTGTCTTACAAATGCATTTGTCTCCTTCCTTTTTTCTGTTATCACTCTGATTAGATCGTAAATTGCGATAGTGATTTTTCCTGGTGATGGCAATATTGGTTAAACCCGTCTGTGAATGAAGTTCTCTAGCAGCATGTTGCATGCATCGTGGTACATATCCTGCCTGTTACACCCATGTCTGCTTTGGGTAGGCGTAATTTCTTCCTTTCTCCATGGAGCTTTAAAGAAGGGGGCAAAGGTAGGGGGAGAGAGCTACGTACCCATGGTTGCAGTACAGCATAGCCAGCATTGTCATACTGGTTCCTGACAGCTCAGCTTCGATGCTGACTACCTTACCGTTTTGATTAGAGAAATTAAGCAGCACAGGTTAAGTATCCTCTTTTCCAAGTGTCACCTTTACATTTACTCCAACCTTTGCAAACCTATTCCTATGCTTGCTGGGTCTAATCTGATGTTAAACAATACTGACTTCGCTGTCTTCGTGTTAAGAATCTCCGCTGGAGGTACCTTCGATTCGTTTCTCTGTATTTAACAGAGTACAGTCGTCCCTGGTCCCTCCTCTGGAATATCACTGCTTCTTCGCAGTCCCTGGAGGTAAAGAGCATTCACCTTTGGACACGGGAGTCACATTCAAGCAGATGACTGGAACGAGGTTTTTCTCCATGTAGGCAGCTTGTCCTTGGGCTCTCCACAACACAACGCCCGGGCTGCAGCTGCTCTGTCCCCGGAGACCTGGCACTGGTAGCAATGCCTCTGCTCTGAGGAACAAATGAAAGGTGCCAGTGGTCCGTGCTTATGGCTCTACAGGGAAAAAATAAAGGGGAGAGAGCATTTTGGGGGTCAGGGAGTACTTGGGTGGGCAACACCAAGGCTGGACAGCAGTGCTGCATGCACTCCCAGGCGCTGGGCAGCACGGGGCTCGTCCCTCACGGCAGGGACCAGGCAGGGGGGCTTCGTCTCCTCTGGCATCCGCTCCACAGGGATGGTAGTGGTTTCACTGAAAAGCCCAAGGCTAAGGACAACTTTCCTCACTGCTGAGGTGTGAATAAGGCAGCAGCTGATGGCAGGGCCAGGAGAGGCACCTGCTTGGGATTTTGGCAACCCAAGGGAGGTGGTGTGGCCACTGAGAAGGGCTTTTACCCTCTTTAAAATCACTTTGAGTGAGCAAAGGGCGGGGAGGTGTAATTTAAAATGCAATCGCTGCTGATGAGAGGGGTGGGAAAGGTTATTGTAATGCTGAAGCATTATTTTGGGAAAATTCTTTATGGCCCAGTAAAGAAAAAGCCTTAAAAGATTTAGCTGCTTAATCCGGCTTATCTGCTGTTAGATCTTCACAGAATCTCCCCGAGAGATTCAGAGCGGTATCCGAATGCACAGACCTCACCCAGCACCCTGGCAGCTCCTCTTCCTCAGCTTAGAGGTCGGGGAAGAGGGAGTGTGGAGCTTGCTGTGTATGTAATTGCTCCAGCTAATGAGCAGCAGTTTTGTTGGTTTTTTGTGGGTTTTGGGTGTTTTTTTTTTTCGTCTCATAAATGCCCAATGATCTTTACATTTGTGTGTTTAAATAGTTCTGTTTAATAATATGGAGAATGGTCTGTGCCTTCTCCCAGGTGGAGTACAGGGCTGGAATTAACTGAAAAATGCTTTAATGATGGTGTATTACTTGTAATTATTCTGTGGCTTTCATTCTGCTGTCACCTTCGGTGAGACGTCTTCCCTCAAAGGACGCTTCTAGCAATTCAAGTCTTCAGTAGCTGCAGAAATGCAGGTGGAGAGGGATCCAAGCTTTGTCTAGGATTTGGAAGATACCATGTAAATTGGAGCAAAAAAAATTATATGGGTATTATTTGATCTAAAATTCAAATTTCCAATGTATTAGTGGCACTCTGTCCTGTGAAATGTGGCACCAACTTGCAGTAAATGCAAGGTCACCAGAGCCAAGTAGCTAAAGTCACTTCTACATCTGCTATCCGCTGTTAGAGGGGGTGTTTTTTCTGCTGCATTTCTCCTTGTTGAGATTATTAAAATGTAAGGCTTTACTTCCCCTCTCTGTCACCTAATGAGGTGTTAGCTGTTGCTTCGGAAGGGGGGGAGGTAGTGACATATTAAACTTACGGGCTGTATATTTTTAAAACTTCTGAGGAGGTGCAAAGACACTTCTGTCAGTAATGTATTCCTCTGAGAAGGTACCAGCATTTACTGTGCAGACACCTACTGGGCTGTTTTGTTTAGTTGCCAGAGACTTGAGGCTGCATTGCTTAAAAAATAAACTTCTTGTCATGGTAGGGTGCTGAACCATAATTACATGAAGACCCAGATGTTTATTTCTTCCTTTGTACTTGTTTTCTTGATGTTATTTGGGAGGTTGGAAGGGACTCTGACCATAAAAACTATAGTTCCTGTGACTTTTTGCCCTTTTTATCTGTTCAGTTAACCAAAATTTGGTCTTCTGTTTACCTGCTGAGGAATTGGTGTGGGGTTGTTTTTTTGGGTTTTTTTTTTTTCCTTTCTTTCATCTATTTTCTTCCAAATTTAGGTTATCCCTTCAAATTCTTCCAGGCAGTTTCCTCCCGTAGGTAGAGCCTTATTCATACTTCCCCACCAGGCACTGGAGGTGGAGTGCTGCCCTGGGCAGGCTTTGTGTTCTGCTTCCCCTTGGTTTTGCTCTTTAACTTCCGAGTGCAGGAGAGAGGCAGAACAGATCACTTCAAAAGCGAGTGAAAGGCTATACACTTAAAGGCTTTTCTCTTTTTTTACTGTATTTGAAAGATACTTTTAATTTAATAAACACAACCCCAGTAATCAGGTAATATCATTCTGAAGATATAGCCCTCATGTGCATTAATTTTTAAATGTCGCCTTATACAGTGTTATTTCAGCTTTCTTTTATGAACAGCATATTAACTTCTTTATTCTCTGCACCAGTTGTTTTTGTTTCAAGGATTTGACAGAAGGCTATGGTATTATTAGAAACCCTACAATCAGACTAGAAATTCCTTTTGACAGAATTATTGTGTGTTGCATTATAGTATCTGGCATAAAGGGGTTTGGACAATCGGGCGTGTGTGGCCAATGGATGGGGACAGCACAAAGGACACAGATACCAGGTTGAAGAAGTAAGGCTTATCTTTTACTTATGTTTAAATCAGTAGAAGAAGAAGTGAAATAATACAGCAAGAATAAAACACACCACAGTAATGCACCTGATCACCACTACACAGAGTTAGCGACAGTGGTTAAGGAAGATACATCACCAATTCCCTACTACTTTGCCATTATCCACATTCGTGTGTCTGCTGGGGAGCCCCGTTACAGCCAAGGATTGGAGAACCGTTCCCAGAAATTGGGAAGTCCTACGCAGTGCGTCCACTTGTAGGTGAGGCTCCACCTTCGCTGTGAGAGGGTCCTGCTTTTATACAGTCTAACAAACAAATTATAGAAAAAGGGCACAGAAAGATCTGGTGTCACTCTTCTCTTAGATTCCTCCCACAGCCTGGCCAGGGTTCAGGGAAGAATCAAGGGAGTGTCTTTATCTGTTTGGCTTTGACCACATAGTTCCAAACAAGGCCGGACATCTGGCTTCATGGCCTTGACAAGGAAACATGTCTCTAAACAAGGAAAGTTGTATTTTGTCTAAGCTACATCTTTTGCTAATAATCATACATATTTCAGTAATGACCATACATATTTCACTAACGATCTGCGGATATTCTCACAGTCATATTTCATGCTGATATGATACTGGTCAGGAGGTTCACCCAGAAGTCAACTTTGGTTCGAGGCCTGTGGTTCAGGCCTTTTTATATCATGGAGCTTTAAGGTTGATTGGTTTCAAACCTGGTTACCAAGTGGCTGCTTCTGCTGAGGAAAAAATTCAACTGGACATATATGAACATGTAGAACAAATACAGGCTTTCTGTGGTATTTAGAAAGCGATGCAAAAAAAAGATATGATGAAGATAGTAACATGATCAATCCCAGCAACATCAGTATTACTTATAGCCTTTAGGCATAAGTGCACCCAATATCACAGTAGTTACTGTCAGAAAGAAATTTCTCTGAAATAATTCCTGGACGTACCACAGAAAGCAGAGAAAGGAGAAGTAGCAGCTCTCACAAAAGAGGAAAATCTTAGAAGTTGTTACTTAAAATCCATCACTGCATTTTGTTTGTTCCTACAGACACCATTTTTACCAAATTCCCACAAATGCAGCAAGGAACGGTGGTGTTGGGTAACTAAGTACAATGACTTTCCTGGTGGTGGCATCAAGGATCTGCATTTCGGGTAACACAGGAGCTCTCACTGGAGACCCTGGCAGGCAGCAGGCACATCTCCATATGGCTCTTGTGCCATGGGTGCAAGCTGGGCTGTCTTCCCCCAGGCCGTTTCCCATGGGGAGGTCAGGCACCAGCTTGTACCTGTGTCTACTGCAACATCCAGGTTTGGGCTTTCGCAACTCCTGCTGCAGACCCGCCAGATGTTCTCTGCCTCCTGATCCAGGCTTTCCTTCCTCATTTTTTTGTCTTCACCTCTCGTGTCTTCTCTCTCTCTGACTTTCCAGCCGCTGGGCCAGCCGCAGCACGACCACACAGCGGAGGAAAGACCGCCTGCGGCAGCACTCGGAACACATCGGGCTGGACAACGATTTGAGGGAGGTAGGTGGCGTCATCCACGGTGGCACAAGGTTGTGATCCAGGAGGTGAGGCCTAGGCAGGCGATGGGTTCTTACTTGGGGCAGTTTTATTGCTACCAAAAGGTTTGTGTGGGTCTCTGCAGCCATTTCATTTAGATGCTGCTTGTCGTAGATGCTTGTCTATGTTGTGCCACTTCAAACACACAACAGAAATGAAATGCTTTTTTTATTTTGGAGTAAGATAGACCCTTTGTCATGAGGAAAACAGTTCACTTGCTGATACAGACCCCAGTCGTGTAACCGCACGCAGAGAGCAGAGCCCTGGTACCCTGCCTGCGTGCAGCCGCCGAGCTCTGGCCAGGGTGAAGGTCTAAGTCAAGTCCTTGAATAAATGTCAGTGCCACTGAGGCGAATGAAGCAGGACTCTCATTCTTTTTTCAAGGTTCTTTTTTTCCTCTTACATAGATTCCTGACATGAGTAAGCCTATTTGAAAGGTTAAGACTTTGGGGCCTTTTTATGCCCAAAGCTTGAAAACTCCCATCTATCCTGTAAATGTCAGTCGCACACACACATTTCTGTCCCATCTTTTCAGTTTCTCATCCTTCATTAAACATTTTCTGCCATATATTTCCATTGATGCCCATGTGTTTCTTCTGTATGTTACTAGCAAAAATAACGCATGCCTGCTGTTTTGCGGTAAATCTCGCTGAATAACGTTGGCCAGCAATGGCATTTCCACCCTGAAAGAACCCAAGTGGATGAGTGGGCTCTTGAACCGCAGCTTCGAATGATGTTTCATGGAAACACAGCAAAACAGCATTTGTACCTGTCTCTTGCTATTTTTGCTAATGTGGCTTTGCAAGTATATTTCAAACGTTGCCTTGTGTGTAGACCTCAGCAGAGCCTTTTCAATACGTTGTCATGTATTTACTTTCTTCTGGTTTTGGCTGTGGATCATATGCATGCTTCTTTTGCTTTGTCTCCTCTTTCTTTCTGGCTATTCTGCCATTGGGGCATCTGCCTCCTCTTAGCCATCGGAGGAGCTTTTGCTTCGTCAGAACTCAATGGCCTTCTGGGAGTGGGATCAGGGACCACCCCCTCCTGCACGGCCTCCTAAAAAATCCTTCTCTGAATGCTGCCTGGTATGTTTTAGGTTTTTCTTGTTGAAAGCTGCTTTTGAGGTGGTGTTAGTGTGAGGAACCTCTGTCTTCGCTGCACCTCAAACCTCTTCCCTTCTCGTAGAGTATGAGCACATCCATGTAGCACCTGGAAGTGTGGTTATAATCAGAAAAGTAGCTGGAAATCATCTCTAGGCTTCCATGCCAGCTCCCTGGCAAACATGACTGCTCCAAGGCTGAAAGACGAGAATTATTTTTGCTTCGTTTTTTCCCATGTTGCTTGCCTGGCAGTTCAGCTTAGGGTGTCAAATGCAAAAATCATTGCTTTCTGACTGCTGGATCATCGCATCCCATTGTGGAAGAAGGTGGTGGCATGTGGATGCTGATAAACAGGCAAATGGCAAACAATTGGATCTTTCATCCCACCCTTCTTCTTCTTTTGAACCTACAAGAGTTAATAATTTATTTGATACAATAACAAGACCTATGATGAATAAAGGTTATCCATGGTTTGTACTCTTTGGACTATAACCACACTTTGCATTTTATTTATCCCCTTATGTTTTAAAATAAATATTAGATTTGCTAATCACACATTCCCTGTATTACTACTTCACTGTTGTCATTGCTAATTTTTGCACTGAGTTAGAAGGAAGTTGCTTGTGAAATTGTGTGCTGAACAACATGCTTTCATCATCTGATTTTTTTTTTTTTTTTAATTCCCACAGGTAGTTTTTCAACTACTTTTCAAGTCCCTACAGTATTGATAAACTGTAATTACCTAGCTGAGCACTTCTGCTGAACGCAGCTTTCCAAGGCAGAACCCAACATTCTTGTCTGACCTGTGGGACTGATGTTAAGTGATTCATGTCCGAATTTTGTTTTCAAAAAATCCAAACGTGTCAGAAAAACTGTACTCTCTCATTACAAAAAAAAAAAAAAAAGAAAGAAAAAGTGAGCAACTTCAATGTGTTTGGACTTTGCTTTTCCAAAATAAGTTTTTTTTCTCCCAGATAACGAGCTCTGAGAATGCAGCAGCCGTAGTGTCCTCTCGGTTCCCCAGGAAATGCAGCCAGCAGCAGTGCTGTCTCTGGAGGAGCGTGATCCACTCCTCTCGGGGGAATAACCATCACTGTCACATGCCATCCACCAAAAACACACCATGGAAATGGAGCATTCCCACATCAGGCTATGAACCCTGTGCTTCAAGGCTGTTTTATTCCGCAATATTTTATTATTTTACTCTTTTTAACAAAAACTTTACGAATATTGCTTGGGCATCTTTTTGATAGTCTTCATATTTGCACACCTATATCCGGACAACTTCTTCGCTTTGGCTCAGTGTGTACCCCCCTCACTGATGATGTTGGGGCAGATGACACTGTTGAGTGGTTTGGGATTTGTTGCTTAACAAACAAACCAAATAAACAACAAAAACACCTCACAATGAAAAAAAAAAGTCCTGAACCATAAGGTGATGCAGCAGGAAGGTTTAAAACTCTTACTACAGCTTGGATCCTTTTTTTAAAGAGCACACCAATTTTTGTTCGTATTTCTCAATTAATCACCCCACAATAAAAATATGAATGATCCTGAATGACAGTTTTGTTTAAAGTGAGCTTCACTTGTAATTACAAAGTTAATTAAGAACAAAATCAAGTATGATTTTTTTTTTTTTGCCCCCCATATAAACTATCCAGATGAAAAGTAATGAATCAAATCTTTGTCTTTCACTAAATTTATTTCTGCTTCTTGTAATTTATTTTCAATGGCTTTTTTTCAATTCATGTATATTCTGGTCAGAAATTAGACAAATGGCTTTCAATTTTTATTTTTTTATTAAAGCGATAATCAAATTTTAACAATGGAAAGAAACTTTGCTTGGTATTTTTACTTTATTGATGAATGAAGGTATCGCACTTTTATTCACTTGCAGTGGCTAACAGTTCACTAGCTAACGTTGACTGCTTCTGTTCCACGCAGGTAAACATCTTGCTTTTTCTGTTGTCAAAAGGGAGCTTTCCACTTCTCCAGCCCAACACCTAAGCATCAGACAAGTCATGATGTTGTTCCTAGATTAACACTAGCTCGTGCCTTTTCACCAGCAGTTGCTTGCTTAGGATTAGGGCAAGGAGAATCCCTCTGACTTGTAATGGCTAAACTTATTCTGTTTATTTTTAGAAATACATGCAGGAAGCGAGGAGTTTAGGAAAAAATTTAAGGCAGCCCAAACTCTCAGACCTCTCTCCAGCTGTGATCGCACAGACCAACTGGAAATTTGTGGAAGGGGTACTGAAGTAATGCCGCATGAAGGTACGTCCTCCCCCTTCCCGCCGCCTGCCCTCCCCTGGCGTACGCTGAGCCTAAATAGCATCTGTAGATGGTGAGAGCCTTTCACCACTGGAACAGCATCGCTCTGTTGCTGTACCAGGTTACTGCAGGGCGGATGTCCCCTTGGTGTTATATTTTTTTAACAACTAGAAAATAAAGAAACATATTATCACTCTTCTGTTTATGCGGTCAAAGTTGGTGAAATGAATAAAAAGGACGGGAAGGAGGATCATCATGAACAGACATCTTCGGGAGGATTTCCTTTAATTGTTCATACGTAAATGTAGCCTAAACAGAACGGGCTCGAGACCCGTGGTCTGAAAAGGAAGTGTTCAGCATGCGCAGCTGCTGTGTTGTTTATGCAAACAAATGAAGTATTGAAGTATAGCAGTTTCTAATATTGAAGAAGCTTTTACAGCCATGGAAATAAATTTCTGTGTGTCTTTGTATCAGTTGCAGTTGGTGTTGTACTGTATTACCTGAGTTTTCAACTTCAATAGCTGCAGCAAGAAGGATAACAGATACTGAGTAAGACTGAAAATATATCTAGCTCTGTACTGGTTTTGATACTGGTTGGTAGTAAATCAAAGGTGTAGGAATAGGACAATAGATAAAGGAATAGATAAAGGGAATAGAAATAGGACAGTATGGATTAATCCTGCAAACGTATTCTTTAATTATTTTTTTTAATTTACAATCTCTGTAAAGAGATTCAAAGTTTTTTCTGGTTGGGCCATTAGCAATGATCTCTAGAATAAGCATGTTTACTTAAACTTAGCTATATATTCTCTCCCTTGTTGAATAACATTCTTAGAAACCTTTGTGGATTTTTTTTTTTTTTTTTAAAGACTAAGCGCATGTTGGTAGAGAAGATGGGCCATGAAGCAGTTGAACTGGGACATGGAGAAGCCAACATAACGGGTCTGGAGGAAAATACCTTGATTGCTAGTCTCTGTGACCTGCTAGAAAGAATCTGGAGCCATGGTCTACAGGTCAAGCAGGTTGGTAACTGGAAACCCGGGACTTTGTGTGTACAATACTCTAGCTAATACTGAATGCCATCTCTACCTTTTAAGTGGCTACTCAGTGGTGTCATTCCAACTTTAGAGTGGGAGGTATCTTTGGGATCAGTCCCTGGTTGATCTTGGAAGGTCTTGGGGGTGGTTTGTGGATTTTGCTTGTGGCAGATTGTTTTTTGAAAGGTATCTCTGGAAATAAGAGAGATTGAGGCTGGGGAGGGACTTTTTACAAGGGACTGTAGTGACAGGACAAGGGGTAACGGGTTTAAATTGAAAATGGGGAGGTTTAGATTGGATATCAGAAGAAGTTCTTCTGAGAGAGGGTGGTGAGGCACTGGCACAGGTTGTCCAGAGAAGCTGTGGATGCCCCATCCCTGGAAGTGTTCAAGGCCAGGCTGGATGAGGCTCTGAGCAACCTGGTCTTACGGAAGGTGTCCCTGCCCATGGCAGGGGGGTTGGAACTAGATGATCTTTAAGGTCCCTTCCAGCCCAAACCATTCTGTGATTCTCTGAAATTGCAATAGTGGTGTCAGGTGTTTAGTTTCTTCTCATTCAACCTTCAAAAGGGAAACTCAGCTAGAGGACAAAGAAACAAGGTGGGCAGTGTGACTGTAAGGTCAGTGGGATGATCCTCTCCCCGAGGTCTCCTGGCCAAAGGTGAAGGACTGCCTCTCAACATTGAACTCTTGGCCCACTGAAGTACCATCTCATTATTTTGCCACGTTCACCAGCCTCTTCTTTTGCCTCATTTATTTAAAGCTACATACTACATATTCAATTTTCAGGGGAAATCTGCTCTGTGGTCCCATTTACTTCAGTTCCAGGAGAGAGAAGAGAAGCAAGAGCATAGTGCAGAGTCCCCGGGTGAGTACTCAGCAGTTCAGTCCATGAAGGCTCCATCACATGAATGAACTCAGGCCTGGGAGGAACAGTGTAACCACATTTATGTGTGGTTACATAATCCATGCAGGATTTTCAGTGTATTTGATTGCCAATATCACATTTACATTTTGAGACCTTTTATAATCATTATGAAGATGCTTTGATGTCTGGACAAAATAGATTGACATCGTTGGAGGCAAATGAGCATAGTACTTAACCCTGTCTAGAAAATCACTCAATGTCTGTTCACTACCTTCATTCCCTTTTAATCAGCATTGAGTGAGGTGTGAGAAGCAGTACTTCTGCAAGAGATGATTTTTGAAGTAGCTGAAGGTGTGGAGCTATGTCTGAAACAGCTGACGTTTTTCTTTCAGAGAGCATAATCTGTCTCAAATCCCAGCGTGAATATTTCCAAGTTCAATACATATTTATACTGGTGGACCGTACAGTTCAGAAGTTGCGTAATTAACCTCTATCCATCAGTCAGGTGCTCAGTTTATGCTTTGGTTTGGCCCTTTACAATCACTAAATTACTGCTGTGTTGTGAGAGAGGTTGATTTTCTGATGACCATGAGATCTCCCTGCCCACAGACAGTTTCTCTGAACTTTCGTGGGTCATCTTTCAAGGACTCTGCAATCCTCCAATTCCTACAGTTGGGAACTTGTGTGATCAGTCCTCAAAGACACATCTATGGACAAACTAGTCTCACTCATGTAAAAACATTTTAATAAGCTTCAATGAGTAATGCACTAAGCAATCTGGCTGGCAGGCACAAATTCCTGAGAGCAAAATGTGTCACCACAAAGCAGTTTGATCACAGTAGCAGAGCACAGAAATGCGTGGCATTCTTAGCATCGAATATGCTATTGTAGCTTAATTTTATCTCATCCTTCTCAGTTATGAGCTTTCCATAAAAACATTTTACTAATGAAACACCACCGTACAGATTTATGTTAACGTATTTCGAACTTCAAAAAGGAAGCTGTTAAATCTCAGAGTTCAGTGCTGAATTAAGGAAGGAATTGGTAATGTATTAAGCATTTTTCGTTTGGTCTGCTTCTACATTTCCAGGATAGAGTGAATGATAATGCACAGAAACATTGCAGTTACCAGCCACTTAAGATTGTTTTCAGCTGTATGTAAAACAAATGCTTAGCAGACCGTTACTGTAATTTTGTATTAACTTCATCTATTTTCTCCATTGTAGTTGCTGTTGGAACAGAAAGACGAAAGTCTGATACAGGAATTACTCTGCCTACTTTGAGGGTTTCCCTGATACAAGATATGAGGTACACAGTTTCCTAAAGCATTAACTGGGGCTTAATTGTGTAGCATTAAGGTGAAGATCCTCACTGGCTTTGGGTTTACAAAACTTATGTGCTTGTTTACTTGATTTATTTTAGCTAAAAGCCAATGAAAACCACACAAGTTTTACTGGGGATTTTGTTTTCCCTGGGTGGTGGTTCTAGCAGGGTCGTGGTTTAACCCAACCAACACCTAAGCACCACACAGCTGCTCACTCACTCCTGCCATGGCAAAATGGGGGAGAGAATGAGAAAAGTAAAGAGTGAGAAAACTCGTGGGTTGAGATAAAGACGGTTTAAAATGTAAAGCAAAAGCCACACACACAAGCAAAGCAAAAGAAGGAATTCATTGATCACTTCCCATGGGCAGGCGGTTGTTCAGCCATCTCCAGGAAAGCAGGGCTCCATCACATGTAATGGTTACTTGGGAAGACAAACACCATCATTCCAAATGCCCTCCCTTCTTTCTTCTTCCACCAGCTTTATGTGCTGAGCATGATGCCATATGGGATGGAATATCCCTGTGGTCAGTTGGGGGCAGCTCTCCCGGCTGTGTCCCCTCCCAGCTTCTTGTGCACCCCCTGCCCACTCACTGGTGGGGGGGGGTGAGGAGCAGAAAAGGCCTTGACTCTGGGCAGTAACTGAAACATCCCTGTGTTATCAACACTGTTTCCAGCACAAATCCAAAACTCAGCCCCATATTACCTACTAGGAAGAAAATTAACTGCATCCTGGCCAAAACTAGCACGTAAAGCCAACTTCTGCAAAGAACAGCAGATATGTTGAATTCCTTGGTACGTCGAGTTTGTTTGTTTTAAATAACTGACCAAACAAGCGCAGCTGATAGACAAGCAAAGAGTTACAAAACCCTGCTTGCAATGGCTGAGCAATATTCTTTCTTTTCAGTTAGTATTTTATGACGAATAGTTATAAATGTACAAACTTAGGAGTGTAATCAAACCTAGTATTTGGGTGAGTTTAAAGCTGGAATGTGAAGTAAGTGCAGTTGCTCTGTAGGAGATCACAGCCTGGCTCTGGAGAGCTTTTTAGGAAGTGCTGGTTGAGAACTGGTGAGGATTAGAGAGTTACAGGAGGTGGAGGCTGACATGACACCACCAGGCAGTTGTTCTTCAGGACATCTCCTTGACCAAGCTGCTGTTTTGACACTTCGCTTGCTAGAGCTAAGCACTGCAGTGGGGTGAAAGCGCTGTGAAGAGAGGGGAGGAGCACTGCGATAATGCTCGTCTGTAGAGAGCTGCTAGCAATTTAACCTGTGAGACGACGTGACTGTTGTTTCTTGCAGTACTATGCCCTTTCATGTAAAAATACAGCAAAAAATCTTCTGGTAAAAATAAGATTAATTGTGGCTAGTTCCCAAAAACACTATTACCATGATGTGATTTTCACCATGTGTTATTACAGATTTAATTTCTTTTCTCTGATGTGACATCCCACAGATTAGTCAGACTTTTTCTGAAAGAAGATAACTGTGCTTCCCACCTGCAGCGTACAACCTTTCTGTTTGATTCTATGTAGTTTGAGTCTTGTGCTCTGATTTCGAAGAACACAACATGCCACATCAGGCTAAACCAGCATGTGAAAGCGGGAGGGAGGGAGAATGTACACAGTGTGATTAGGAGCATAATGCCCAGAGGTCATTTTGAACACGGGTCTGTCATTTTAGCAGCCCTCCCATGGGACCCGGCAGCTATTTACTTAATTCAGTCCTGTGAGGCTGACAGGCATGTAGAGGATCGGTGTGAGGAAAGGATGAAGGAGGATCTGGAGCGGAAACTGGTGTGCTGGGGGCAGGGAGTGCTGACAGAGGAGGCCGTGTGCGCTCGCTGCTGCGTGCGTGCGTTGCGCCTTCTGCGTGCTACTTGAGTAATGAAAGCTCAGCACGGATCTGAGCTCCTTTGCTTGAACCACCAGAGTGTTTCCACTGCTTTTCAGAGAAAAAGTGCAGAAGCAGAACCTTTTTGTAATAATATCTTGGGTATTCATGATTATCCACAAACATGTCTGGTCATAGAAAATGCTGGGCAGATGGTGAGTTGAATTTGTCATCCCTAATCTCGTGGCATACTTTCTCCTGCTCGGAAGGAACGCTGCTTAATATTTGTTTGCACACACAGGTTTGTGCTGAAGCTAGAAGGATGGGTAATTGTTAAATTGCTGGGGTTGCAGCGCTAACTGAACTAATGGCTAGAGGATTAAGCATTGCCTTAAGCACAGCTTGGTTTTGATGGCTCATGCAAGGTTATGTAAACAACTTAAAAAGCAGGGCTGAATCACAGTCATGCTCTGGATGTGTGATGAGCTACAGGTAACGTGGTGTCCTCTGCCTCCCTCGCAAAGCTGGGCATCTTAAATGTGGTAAGGAAGAAGCTCAAGATGTTTATTTTGGTTCTCTGCACAAGTGTTTGGGGTATGCCCTTCAGCCTTTCCCCTAGGTGAAGTTCTGCAGCATCCCTCCCACCCCTCTTCCAGCTCCCCGGCAGACTCCTGCTGCGGCCTGCCTCCAGTATGGCCTCACCCCTTGGGCACATCGCTTCACGTTCAGCTGGACCAGTCAGTGCCAAGGCAACTCCCCGAAACCTTCGGTCCAGCTGGCTTCAGGTTTCAGGTCCTTCTCCTTCGGGCAAGCCTTTCCTTGCAGTGCTTACATTCATGCCCGCGTCGTGCCTCCCCTCCCACGGGAATCTTGCAGTGAAGGATGCAAGCTCCAGGCGCTGGCCCCGCAGCAGCGATGCTTAACCTGCTGCAGTGAAAGGATCTGGGTGGGCAAAGACCTGCCACCTACACGGGATGAGGTAGTACAGCTTGGGAGCATGCACGCCGGCCTCGGGGGCATGGCTGTATCCTCTCTCGTCAGCACAGCTGTTTGCAGAATATGTCTCGCCATACCCCAGGCTTACATTTGACAGGGAAAATAGATTTTTCTTTATTACTAATGGGATTAAAAGCAAGTCCCTACCTAGGCAGTTGCATTGAAATTGCTGTTCAGTGCCCTGACAAGAACAGTTTGCTGTGTGATGGTTAGCATACAGTGCTCACACTTAGGTCACCGATAAAAATAGAGGTGTTCTGACTCTCACAACTGAGAGCAAAATAAATCTGAGTTCCTGAATGCTCTGTTCTGTTACAGTCTGCTTTTGCTGATCCTGAATCTTTTTAGTGTTTCTGGCAAGCTGCGTGGTTGCAGATCCTTATTTTTCCCAAATGCACAATTAATGCCAATCCAGTCTGAACCAGAAACAGGTAATGAAGAGGTACGGAGCATGCATGGAATAAGGTTGAGTCCATCTGTACCTGAATCTTCTCACAGTAGAATAACATATTCTACTCTATGTTTCATATTAGATGTAATTCAGGCTGAGCATAGAGGGGGAAGGGAAGGGAGATGATAGTCTGTGCTTTGATCTTCTCATCTCAAAAGACTTGAAATGCCTGAGGAGAGCGTCTCAATGTGATGAATAGTGTGCATCCTGTTTCTCAGGGACTCTGGATCACATGCCTAGTGGTCTGGGCTGGAAGGTCTAACTCTGGCTGCCATGCTCTGAGCTGTGAAAGGCTTTCCAATGCCAGGAGCAAGGCTCTTGGCAGTGGTTCAGCTGGTAGGCATGGCTGCTGGCAGAGGGAGGCTGCTGAGCTTCCTTGTAAAGGGAAAGGACTTCTATCAGTGTAATGTGCTCTTCTGGGTTTGTTTTACAGCTCACAGAGAGTTAGCACTTCTTACTTGCTCCATCAGAAAACTACCCATGTGTCCCATTAAGAAACAGGAGGAAGGTTTCTTAAAAAAAAAAAAAAAAAACCTATCTTTTTTATTATTATTATTTTTTAAAGGGATTTTAAGTAACATAGGTTTTGCCGCTGGCCAGCTACCATTACTCCTCCTGATTGTTTCTTCCTAACAGTGCTTCAGAGATGTACATACAGAGGCCTGTGATACAGACACCTCAGCCTGGATCGCAAAGATAGACCTGCATTTTAAGAATTCGAGTAGGTTAGCCAGCAGACAACAGTGCTGCTGAGCTGTCCCTGGCATCCATCTCATTTGGTCAGAGCAGACACCTATTTCTGGACAGCACTAAGTTGTACTTCGCAAATTTGCCCTGAAGGCTCTAGCCCTGTTACGTTAGAAGCTCAATAAACAAGAGAGTATTTTTCTTAAATAATACAGGGTCCAAATATAGCACAAAGCACGCGCTTGGGTATAACAGATGGAGGAAGGCACGAGACAGTGAGACTGTACTAGTCAATTTACAAAGCATCAGTCACAGCATGACTTTGTTGGATTTTCCTTGGAGTAAATATTGCCACATTCCCTAACACTCAGCAATGTGTAGAGGGCCTGCAAGGAAGACGCAGGGGTTGTGAATGGCAACAGAGATGAGTTCGGACTCGGCTGATGGTACTTGGAGCCTGCCTCAGAGGTTTGGAGAACTGAATTGCCTGTGCACTTAATGTGCAAACTGAGTGAAAATTAAGACATTTCAGCCTTTTTTTTTCCCTGCTGGAAACTGTTACTCATTTTGCTTGCTCTTTATTTAACAAAGTGGGTGCTTTTTGGAAGCAGCTTTGACATGCCATGGTAGTTGTCTTCCTCTTCTAAAGGTATCTGGTATTCTCCAAACTGAAATATGGGAAGTTGGAAAAAAAAAATAAAACCAAAACCATAGAAGAAAGCCCCTAAGGAACAGTTCTGCTTTCCTACAGACCAAGCATGTGGTTGGAGGGCTGTTCAGATTGCCACTTACACAAGGGCCATGAAAATGTGACTCTGCTTGTGACCGTCTGTTACTTTTACCCCAACAATCCTCTTTTTCTCGGATTTCCCGTTGCTGACACCACCAATGGGTTTTTAGAGCGTTCAGAGTAGATTGTGGTTTAGAGAAAATCTTAAGATGTGTGTTTGTCCTCTACCCTCACAGACATACCCACTCACATCAGCTGCTTGAGGGAGTGGCTGTCCCGTAAGGTGGCTGCTTTTTTTAAGTGTTAGCAGTGTCCATGATGACATCTACCTCAGGCAAAGCAAGGATGAACAGATCTACTCCTGCTCACCTTGGCCAAGCAAATGCCAGGACATGAAGCAGCTGATAGAGGCTATAATGTGTCTGGGTTACAACCTGCCCTTCCCGGGAAGGGCTGCCCTGTGTCCCCAGGCCAGCCTGGGGCTGTCGAGGGTCTTGAGCCATAGTGCAGGACTTTGCAGGGCTGTACTGGGGGTCTCTTTCTCTATAAATTATGTCAGGAGGTATTTTCCAGTTCAGCTGCTGCATCATACTAGATGTTGCTATTTGAAGCATGTAGGATTTTTACGATTCATCTATTTTATTTTATTTTTCCCACCTGTTTCAGGCATGTTCAAAACATGAGTGAGATAAAGACTGATGTGGGGCGAGCCCGAGCCTGGATAAGGCTTTCTCTGGAGAAGAAGCTTTTGTCTCAGCACCTCAAGCAGCTGCTTTCCAACCAGGCGCTTGCCAAGTAAGCTGGCTCTTTTTCTCAAAGCTTCGCTTTCACGTCTTCCTCACTGGTGTTGTGTCAAGGTGCCAGGCACCCTGTTTGGGTGCTCTGGTTTCCAGCTAGACATGATTGAAGGGCAGAGGGTAGCTCTTGGAGGGGGAGAGGTACTGCCCACCCAGCAGCGCAGAAGTCCTCTCACCTGCCTGGAAAAACAAATCACAATTTTCAGGAAGGAGGCGTTAGGTTTTGGTCAGATCAGTGTGTTGATCCAAGCCACTTTACAGCCTTACAATTGCTGTGTCTTGTGCAAATGGAGCTGCAGGGGCAGGAATGTCCCTTTTCTCACAGCAGCCCTGAGTTGGGGTGACTCAATACAAATGCAGGCACCCATCCAGACTGCCATGGGCTGGGTCAGAGGCCAACCATCCCAGCCACATAGCAGCTCCCCGGAGCTTTGCCTTCCTTTGCAAGCACAGGCACTTAAGGATCTGCCTGCGTATATGCTCCCTGACTTTATTTTCTCCAAGCACTATATTTAGGAAAAAAACCCCAAACCTTTGGAAAACATCGTAGCTATTGCATGCAGTTCTTACCAGAACTGGCTCTGAGATGTTCCACGCATGATTATGCCAGAAGCTACCAAATACTCAAATCTGCCAACAGGAGGAAAGAGGGGTAGCTAGAGACGGTCACCTCTTGGGTGCTCAGCTGAAGGGCACGGTGGCAGACCCGTCTTTTCCTGCAGTTTTGACTACAGCGACTTACCTCAGCAGCTTTTGGGAGCCTGCTGCCTTCAGACTGCAGCTGAAGCTTTGTGCTTTCTCAGAGCAGGTCCAGGTTAACTCCTGGTGTGCCTTTGCGCTGCTTTGGGCAACTTATGATGGACACTGGGATTGCTGAAATGGGAGAGTGGCGGGAGCACCCCTGCAGGTGCTTGGTGCCTTCTGGTTAGCTTTCTAAGGAAGATCAGGTTATTAGACAACGCTATTCTGCAGTGGGAAGGTAGGGGGAAGAAATGAGGTTGCTGTGTGTTGGTTCAGGTGTGCTGCCCTGAGCAATGTTAGTTTGTGCCTGTGCTTTGCAGCGACACCAAAACTGACCCTGTGACAAGACGAACTCGGCAGCCTTGCTGTGATACCGTGGAGATGTCAGTGGGCTGCAAAACACATGTGGAACAGGGGGAGATGCCTTCTCTGCTTTTCTAGCAGCTCGGATTAGCTGGGGAATCTTGCTGTTTGTACTTCCCATGAAGACCAACTCTTCTTCTGGCGGTTTGAGGTTCAAATGCCTTTTAAGACACGTGGTACTTTTTCAACAAGAAAGCACTGTCTTTGTTTCTACCAGGAAACTTTACAAGCGTTACGCTTTCCTGCGCTGTGAAGAAGAACGGGAACAGTTTCTGTATCACCTGCTCTCACTCAATGCCGTGGATTACTTCTGCTTCACAAGCGTCTTCACCACAATCAGTGAGTTGGAGAATCATTTTTTTTTTTTCTCCTTGAATAAAAATTAGCTGCTGTCATGATTTGTAAGAGATGGTGTTGGTGGTGCCTGAGTAGCTGAGCTCATTATCTGGAAACCGTGGTTGTTGCTGCCGGGCTCATGGGTGCTGGGTGTTGCTCTGGGAAACCAGCTGGAGAGCCAAGGTTGTGTGGGAGTGCTGTGGAGGATTGCACAAAGGAGGGTAATCAGCAGAGAGTGCTGCTGTAGCACTTGGGTTTCCTCTCTGAGTTGTATTGCCTCTTTCATCTTCTCTCCCAGGCAAGTAAGTCCTCTACATCCTAATGCTTCTTTCCAGCCTTTGTCTGCTCTCTGCAGACTGGGAAGGAGATGGAAATCTTGGAGGACAAACTACAAGGCACTTTGTGCTCTGCTGTATATTGTAAATCTCTGTCTCTCCTTAAAGGCCAAAAAGATTCCCTCTCCCTCCCATAAGAAGGACAGCAGAGGTTAGATTGAAATCTGAAAATGAACCTTTGTCTCTCCAGCACTGGGCTGCGCAGAGAAGGCAGGACCCGTGAGGTGACCTTGTTGGGATTCACCTTGGCAGCCCTTAGTCTCTGTCTCCCTGCCTGTTCAGAGCAGGGTGCAGCAAGTGTGAGGTGGCTGTCAAAGCAGGCACTCGTCCTACCTCTCCTCTGGAAGCAACGCCTCCCCTCAGAACCAGCGCAGCGCAGAGATTTATTCATCCTTGGTTACCTTATTGCTGCGGGGCACCCAGCCTGACAGCCTTCCCCTGCAGGACACGCCCTTGGAATTTGAGGGTGTTTTTAAGTGCGGTGTCACTGTAGGGAACCCAAAAAGCAAAAAAGGCCGGTTTATCGTACGCAGGCACCAAGGCAGCTTGTGCAGCGCGGGGAGACGGAGCCTCGCGGTGCGGTGCCCCGGTCCAAACCGGGGTGGGGGCAGACGTTGTCTTAAGCGGTACGGGTGGTGCAGATTGAAAAGCAAAATAAAGCTGATTTTGAAAGGGAGAACCCACAGGGTGCTTTGCCGCCGGTGGCTCCATCCC